ATACAAAATGATTATTTTAGTTTAATAATGTCTATTTTATAATTATAATCTCAAAAAAGAATGAATAAAAAAGTATTTTATAGTAGGAAGTAGAAAACTGGCGGCACCCAAGTTTGTATTTATACTTAGGGCGACAGCTTATAACAAAATAAAAGAGGAAATACCAGAAACACCCCTATGCTAGAACATAACATGTTACAACAATTTTAAAGTTACTATTTGTTATTTTTACATCTGTAATTATTCATAATAATATAGAATATGCTTGTTTTTTTGGTTTGATCAGCAATAAAAAATCGATTAATTAAATTAGAATAGAAAGGTACAAGAGGTTGTGAAAAAAACAGCAAACCCAAAAACCATCCCAAATTTACAAATGAGCCCAGCACATGGATTGTCCCTGAATTCCTTGTTTATCTAGGCCATCTTCCATGCTGTTTGCAGATCTTCCAATCCATCTTATTTGGATGAACATATCTTTAGATAGCTGGGTGAAGCACCTGAAATCATTCCTTAGCTGCCAAATTACCCCTTCCTCTTTTCTCATCAGCCCATCACTATTTTTGAATCACCTTCAATTATTAGTCTCTCAATCCCCATTTCTTTAGCCTTCTCCACCCCATCACCACATCACCTTGCTGAACAGGACCTGAATACATTGCTAGGATGTTTCCATAACCCCACCAATATCCGATGGGCCAGGATTTCCCATACAGCCACCATCAAAATTCAATTTCTTCCACCCAGCACATAGGGGTGACAGACCTCTATAATAATTTGTCTTCTGGAGGAGGAAACAGCAATTGAACCCCACAAACTGAAAAACTCTTCAACTTTAAAATTTGCAAAGAGCTTTAAAGTTTTCACCCAATGAGCCACCCTTAAAGTTATTACTTCTATCACAGCTTCCTTGCTTCTTTCCCTGTCTTCAAAGATTCTTAGATTCATTTCTTCCCAAAGTGTCCAAACCACCCCTGCTCTAGTGCACCTAGCCAAAATCCTGCCTCTTCTTTTAGAGCCTGTAAAAAAGGAGATCTAAATAGTCCCTCCAAGCTATCATGGGGAAGCCATCTGCAACCAAAAAGAGAAGAGAACCACTCCCATATAGAGAGCAAAAGGACAGGAAACTAAAAGGTAAAAAGCAGTTTCACCAAACAACTTACATAAGAAACACCAGCTTGGGGACAAGCACCAACTTGGTCTTTTCCTCTGAAGCAAATCACAAGTATTAATGGAGCCATGAAACACTTCCCAACAGAAAGCACTGATTTTAGGAGGAATGGGCCAAAACCATATTTCCTTCACAGGGAAAGAAGAAGAGTGGGGGGTGGCTACAAGAGAGGTCAAAAATGACTTACAAGAGTATGAACCTGTGTGATCAAGAGCCCACACTCTAGAATCTAAACCACTATCCCCCAGGACCACTAAATTCAACAAGCTGAGCAAAACAATAACACTGGGAATATCAGACTCTCTAAGATTCCTAGTAAGGCCCAAATTCCAATCCAAACCTGAATGGGAGGAGGAAGAGCTGACAAATTCAGACACAGGTTTTCGTTTGAGACTAGAAGTTCAAAGATAGAAGGAAAGGCCTCAGATAAAGGGGATTCCCCTATCCAAATATCCTCCCAAAACCTAATTTCCTGACCCAAAGCCAAATCACACCTAATGTGATTGAGGAACACAGGAAGATTGTCATGGATAGCCTTCCAAGGAGCAGCCAAAGTAGCTCTATGGATGCAGCCTGCGTCCCACCCATTATTTGACAGTCCATGGATACTTGTTATAACTCTATGCCACAACTTTTCATTTTCTTCAGAGAATTTCTAGAGCCATTTACTCAACAAAGCCATATTCTTCAACCTTATATTCCCAATACCCAGAATATGTTTGTATTTTGCTATATTCATTGTGTTGCTTTAAATATTTGTGATGGAACATGATTAGATGATGGTATGTAAAATAGAAAAAAGGTATAAAATAAAATAAGGCGGTGAAATTTTTCTAAGTTTTTTTCTAATTAGTGGTTATCAATTAGTCAGCCTAGTCAATGCTTAGTTCTCCTAAGAAAACACGTCATGAGTGTTGACTGACTAGACAGTGATGTAGCCAGTCTAGCCATCTAACTAGTCGCCGATCCTTTGATAACACTTTTGCAGGTCTCTCCCTCAAATTTGGTACATCCCATACCCAAAGCAAGAAACATCACTTAGATGATTTTTAACACCTACATCATACCCATGATCATGGTTTCATCAACAACATCCCCTGGTTAAGTCTTCATGATTCTGCAAGTACTTGCCAGAGGACTTTTGAAACTATAAAAGCAGATGCTCTTCATCTGTCAATTTTCGGATATTGTTTCATTATTGTTTCATCTTCAACTGTACATGGTCGATGGGGGTCCCCTAAATTGTTTCATCATCACAATATACAAATATGAACACAGGTCGCAATGGAGGGAACAAAGCAAAAAAGCTCAAGAAACAGACCAACAAAATTTTGGCATGTTAATAGTTTATAGCAGAGTGCTGATAATTTTGTTTCTGAATCGAAAAACAAGGCACAAAGCAACTATTTTTACCTGCATGTAGCATCCCGACATTTGTAAGCACTCCCACCAAATATATGATAGGGAACAGAGAAGAATTCATTGTAAATCAAGCCACAATAAATAGAAAATAATGCCATTAAAAGGATTACATAGCGCCCACCAAAAGCCATCTCCATAAAGCTGCCTAGTTTCTGATAGGAAATAATAGACAAATTCAATTCAAAATAAGTATAGATCTTCATCTTTGGTGTGAGTGAATAATTGCATGTGTTCCGATTTCTAAGAGTGCACCATAATCAATAAGAAATGGTCAATAGTAATAGAAATAAATATTTTACAATAATTTAAAGATTACTTGTGCAAACTTATCTACTTTCAAATTCCTTGATACAAAAAGAACTGTATGAAAATAGATTTCAAGAAACCAACAGTTCAAGCACTAAGGAAACAAGGGTATAACTATTTTCTAAATCCTCATTATATTTTTGTTCAGTTATCTTACAACATTATATAAAGTTTGTCATAAGCATTATTATTTTTTTATAGGAAACGGTAACTTTCATTAGATAATTGAAAAGATTACAGGCTTACCACCCACAAAATGGATGGAAAAAGAAAATCAAAAACTTCCAAACAGGCCCAAAACAAAGCCTCCCTAGTAACTCCTTGCTTAGCTAAACTGTCAGTCATTCCATTTGCTGACCTTCTTACCCAATTAAAGTGCACCCCAATCTCCCTTGCTAAGCTAATAATCTCTCTTAGAGGCTGTCTAAGAGACCACACTCCCAGGTTTTCAATTTGCATCCACCCTATTACCAGCTTGGAGTCTCCTTCCACTTCTAATTGCTGCATGCCCCATTATTCGCCAGTTTTAAACCTTGAAGTAAGGCCATTACTTCTGCCCTTAATGAATCTCCCACCCCAATTGGGCCTGAGTAAAGAGCCAACACTTTTCCTTCCTCGTTTCTGTACACACCCCCAACTTCCGACTGACCTGGATTACCCAAGGAGCTTCCATCAAAGTTTAGCTTCACCTTGAACTGAGGCGGTGGTACCCAACAATTTTGTACCACAGGGGAGGAAGGCGAGGATATAGCTATAACACTCGAATTTCTAATTAAGTCCGCTGAGGAGAAATCCTTGAAGATATGATGTACTTTCAGCCAGTGCATAACCTTGATGGTGACAACCACCACAAGTGCTTCCTTGGATTTTTCTTGCCCTAGGAAGATCCTATTGTTTCTCTCTTCCCAAATTGACCATAGGATGGCACCTCTTGTTATTCTCCACATTACTCTGCCCCTTTTCCTTGGTTGTCGGAAGAAGCTAGAGTCAAAAACGTTCAGCACAACTGA